TGATTAGATTACTTTTTTAGAAATCATCAATCAAATTTGGCATATTTTTGAAAGAATATCTAAAGACAAGACACCCAATAAGAGTTTTTGTGCATACGGTTCTCGGGCGCCTATGTCACATTCACAAAGGACTCCGTCTTTATTAGCAAACTCAGAAGAAATGTTTAACTAAAAGAAAAATTATTTCATCAAGACTAATAAATGTTTTAAAAAAGCAAATCACATCATTAACATATCAGTTTTAATTACAAAACTCAACGATACATAACAAATTTCTTCGAAATTTAAATTCTCATTAAAAAATTCTTTTGATACAAATTAAATAGCTACATATTCGATTTTCCCATTGATACGAACTTATTGTTTTCATTCAAGATTTACAAGAAATCAAATACTTATTTCACAACAACAAATATCTATTTTTACTCAAACACGAGCATGTATTTACTAATAAATTCATGTTTTTACATCATTACATTTGACAATACTATCAAAACAACCCCAAAATCAAACTAATTTTCGATATTCTTTATTCAGACCAGAGAATTCATATAAATCATCGATTACTCAAATTTAAGTATTCATTTAATGTAATAATTGTTAGATATTAGGCGTTTTATATAAAGATTCTCCCTATTTCAAATTTTCAAGCGAATTAAGTCGATATTTCATACATTTTATAATATACAAATCATGTGTAAGTACAATAGCTTTAATTATTTACAATATTGATCATTTTATTACGAAATCCAAAAATTTAATCAGCAAAATCGATGTTTTTATATAAGATTAGAATGATTTACATCATTGTTTCCATGCACTAGCTGTTAAAATGCTGATGACAGCTAAAAGAATCGCAATTTCATAACTTGAATATAAGATTCAAATGAATCGGCATTATTTGACATTTACATCATTGAAATGTCAAATAATGCCGATTCATTTTTTTTGATGAAAACAATGAAATTCAATCACGATTTTCAGATAACAGTATCAAAACACACATCAACTATGAATAATTTACACTTTGATCAATCTTCTGGTGATGTTTGGGAACTCTTTTACAATACTCCACCTAATTCAAAACCAATTCAAGGTACAAACGTTCAAGCAAGATCAACAAATAATGAATGCTTCTTATATAAATGTTTGTTCATTGATATTACAACTAATAGTGCCATTTATTTTAATGTATCAAACAATAAGTTTCTTAACTCATATTGTTCATTTACTAACTGCAGCAGTAATACAAATGGTGGATCTATATACTTTAACTGTGATAGTTCCATTGTCCAATACCGATCATGTGGCTACAAATCAAAAACAAACTCTGATAGAGGACATCATTCATATGTTTACATAATTAGAAATTCAAATAATAATAAAAATTATCTTTATGAAAGTTCTTTTTATGAATGCGGAAATTTAAAAAAAGATTATACAAATTATCTTGGGGTATTATTATTGTCGTCTGGCGGTTTTAGACAACAATGCGAATTTTCAAATAATAGGATTTTTAGCCAGATAAAGAGCTACTCCATATATCATGCGTGTTTGCATACTATATACATAGATGGAATTGATGTTCTTCCTTTATTTAGGTACCGAAACATGCTTGAAAAATCTATTTTTTAGACGACAATGATAATTTTGTCACTTTTCCAGACGACAATAATAATTTGTCACCTTTTTAGACGACAATAATAATTTGTCACTTTTTCCAGACGACAATAAAACATCCTCAATTTTCTTGATAAAGGAAATATTGAAGTCAATTAAAGTAGAAATTAATTGACACTTTTTTACAATGTGGTGTTTTATGATATTATTGTTGAAAACAATGAAATTAAATAGCAATTTTCAAAATATAGTCCAAAAACACATATCAACTATGAATAATTTACACTTTGATCAATCACCTAATAATGTTTGGAAGTTATTTTACAATACACAACCTAATTCAGAACCAATTCAAGGTACAAATGTTACCGCGAAATCAACAAAAAATGAGTGTTTCTTATATAACTGTATATTCATCACCATTACAACTAATAGTGCCATTTATTTTACGAATACAAACAATAAGTTTCTTAACTCATATTGTTCATTTACTAACTGCAGCAGTAATACAAATGGTGGATCTATATACTTTAACTGTGATAGTTCCATTGTCCAATACCGATCATGTGGCTACAAATCAAAAACAAACTCTGATAGAGGACATCATTCATATGTTTACATAATTAGAAATTCAAATAATAATAAAAATTATCTTTATGAAAGTTCTTTTTATGAATGCGGAAATTTAAAAAAAGATTATACAAATTATCTTCTTTCTGGAAATATTGGAGTTAAATCAATCAACACAAGTTTCTGTAAAGCAAACTATGGAGCAGGAATAATTCTATATGAACCAACAAGTCAAAGTAATGTAACATATTCATCATTTTGTAACACAACATCAAATTATTCAATTTTATCATTAAATTATGGTAATTATAGTTTTAATTTTTGTAATGTTTTGAATAATAAACACACAAAATCTAATTGGGGAACATTCTGGGCAGGTGGATCAACTGTTCATATTGAAAACTGTTCATTTCTTGGAAACACAGGACCAGAAGTAGAATTTTATCAAGCTTATTCTAATTATTCAATTACAGTTAAAAATTCTTTCTGTGACAGAATAGATAAAACAAAAGGATCAGTTACAACAATTAATGTTCAAAATATATATTGTATTAATAATCTTTCTCATTTTTCGACATATCTCTGTCAAGCAGAGTTTCCTACTTTTTTATGCAAAATGGAGAATATTAACACAAAATATGAAATTGTTTATCATTATTCATATCATTTCATTACTTCTCTTTGTATTGCTTTAGTAAAAAAAATAAAATTAATTTGATGAAACTCTCAAGCCTAATTTGATGTTAAATATGAATTTACATTAGATTGGTATAACATATTAAGGTACTTCTCAGGAAAATTAAAAAGAATTAATAAAAATATTGAATTATGTTTTATTTCAAGGAGAATGAGGTATATGATATGAATGCGCTCTAATTGCAGACGCATTTAAGCTCTACTTTTTAGAGCTCGAAAGTACTAAAAAGTAGAAGAATTTTTAGAAAAAAAGGAGGATTAAAAAGCCGTAATCCTCCTAGTGCACTCTTAAGCCAGAATGCAATATAGAGTTCATATGCAAAGAGTGAAAATACTAATGTGTGGGGAAAAATATCAAAGTTCCGCATTTAAATTTCTCTCTGTATTTTTCAGAGAAATAATTTTTATTTGTTGAGGTAAAAGTTACCTTCAAAATATAGAGAATGTGTATACATTTCATACTTAACATAAATAAACAAATATCTTTTTATTTAATAAACACATAAAAACATTACATTTTTCCGCTCCACATCTTTCTCAGTTCTTCATTTTTAGCTTCTCTTCGAGCTCGGACTGTATCCCAATGCATTTGTTCTTGAGTCTTAACAACACTGCTGACTTTCGCTCGATGACGCGCTTCTTGTCTTGTTAGTTCTTGTCCTTCTCTGTTAAACAATGAAGGATTCTTTTCAACTCGTTTAAGCATTTTTCGAGTTTCCTTAGAAACTTGTTTACTTTTTTCCTCTTCTTCTTTCCTACGTTCTTTAATATCTTTCGTTTTAACTTGACTTTGTTCTCGTAATTTCCGCAAATCTGGTTCGATCCTTGCAGCAACTTTGATTTCCTTCCTAAGTCGTTCATCTTCTTCTTCTCGTTTAGCTCTGTCTGCTTCTGCTTGTTGAACAATCTTTTGTCTGATCATTTGATTACGTAATTGTGCTGCTTTTGTTGTTGCTGGATCATAGAACGCCTTCTTATCTTTTTCACTCATATTTAACCTCCTTGGATCAACATCATCTTCGTCAATAACAACTCTTTTACGATGCTTCTCTTTTGGAGGTGGAGGAGGGACTTTTTCACCGATTTCTTCTAATTTTTGTTCTCCTATTAACTTCTTGAGTTTTCTTTCTTTGATTAAATCAGATTCATCTGGTATTAATTCATATTTCTTCTTAGAACTTTGTTTAGATGCTCGCTTTTTCTCTTCTTCTTCCAATCACTTTGACTTTAATGATGTTCTGTCTTCTTTAGGGAATCGTGGTGATTTGTCTTCTAATGGCTTTGGTTTGTATTCTAATGCTTTACGTCTTTCATCTGTCATCTCGTGTTTTCTGACTGATTCTTCTAATTGTTTCGAAATATCTTCACTTCGTCTCAAACTTTCTTTTTGTCGTTGAAGTGATTCTTCTTTTCGACGCTCAATAAGTTCTCTTCTTTCATCTTTCATGAATTCTGGGATTTGATCTGGAATTGGTTCTTTTTTCATCTTCTTGTATGGACTGTTTTCTTCTTCGAGTTGTTTCTTATATTTTTCTTTCGCAAGTTTGTTGTTTTGATCCGAAATTTCAAGACTACTATTAATTCTTCCATATAAACTACTTGCATTTGGATCAGGTTTAATTGTTGATGTGTCTGTTTTGCATGAAATTGTTGTTTTCTTTGTAATTGTGTTGCTTTTCATGAGAGAATCACCCATTGTTTGAGTATTCGTTTGGAGATCAGTTGTACCTAATGTAGATGTTCGATTTGTGGCAAGAAGATCGGTGTCACTACTAAAATCAGTAAATTCTTTTGTATCTTTATTACTTTTTGCTTTTTCTAAGGTTGATTGAAGAGTATCTGTAATAGTAACCGATTTCCTTTTATTAGGGCTAATTTTATCTGTATCTGTTTTTGTTTTTCCTTGTGTTGATTCTAATTTGAAATCTGATGTCATTGTATCATGGAATGATGAAATATCGGCCATTGTTGATATAGTATCTGTATTTTTATCTGTCTTTGTTGATTTATCTGTTGTTTTCAGTGTCGAAATTTTTGAGATTTTCGAAGATGAATTATCAAAGTCGTAATTTTTGCTAGATGAATCGATTTTAGCTGACTGTGATTTTCTTACGATGCATGACGAATCTCCTTTTCCAACTTTTTGTACTCCACAGGTCATAAGTTCGGATTCGAGTGCATCTGATATTCCGTATTTATTTGTTTTAGATTTTGAAGATGATTCGAAGTCATCTGAAAAGGACAGATCGCTAAATTGCGCTTCAGCTTCTAAATCGTTAAAATATGTATATTTTGCTGATGATATTGTATCTTGTATCTCTCTATCTGCAGCTTCTCTACGTTGTGTGCTTAAATTATGCGATGTTGATATAAAATCTAAATCTGTTTTTAGTGCTTCTCCAATTTTTTCTGGGTCTGAAGTATTTAATGGCGGTCTTTCCTTCTTTGGTGGTGCTGGCCCATCCGAGTCCATCGATTGATCACTTGAAAATGAGAAAGTTGATGGATCAGAAAAATCACTATCAATATCCTTTTGGCTATCAAGGCCGTGTTTTTCTTGGTATTCCCATTCCGTCATAGGAATCTTTTTGGGCTGCTTATCTGGATGAATTGGTCTGTCTGTGAACCATGACGAGTCAAGCAAACTCATCCAGGATTTGAATAGTTTATTTTTTTAAACGTACAGTTAATTTTACTAGATTAATGCAAAAATAAGTATTTAATTATATTAGCCCCAACAAATGGATATAAAATAGCATAATTTAATTCTTCAAAACATTATATTTCATTCAAAAAAGGAGAAAATAACATCAATTCTTGCTTGCATTACTTTTCTTCAATGAGCAACTTCGTTATTTGGTGATCCCATTGAATAAAAAAGATATTCGATTTGAAATTATATCGAAAAGCCCAAATAAGTCAAGATCAAATGAAAAACTTTTACTAAAATCATTAGTTAGAACATTATTATGCACTCGAGCTATAAAACTATTTTTTGCAAATAAATTTATGATTTCTCTTTTCCTTACTACTGCATCCTCAGCGCCAGAGACATGTCTTACTATAGAATCGAATGAAAGGCATTATTTGAACCCAGTCAGTGGTTCAGTATTCATTAGAAACGGTAATTTTCAAAAATTAACATCAGATATCGGAGGAGCTTTAAATATAGTAGGAAACGTACAAATCATTATCGAAAATAGTCGTTATTCCTCATGCCGTGCAGACTCAAATTCGAATGGCCAAGCCGGAGCAATTTATATTAACACAAGGAAATTCGCAGTACTACGAGAAGTCTGTTGTTTGAACTGTACCGCTCGAAGTAGCTGCAATTGCTTATATTTATCAACAAATGTTAACGAAAAAAAAGGTTCATTTTACAATCTTAATAACTTTTTCGGAACATATTATCCAACACCAGATGTATCGTATGTAGTTTACACGAATTTCGGTGATCAATACTTCGAAGGCTGTAATTTTTCACAAAATAATGTTTATTGCGGAATTGGACCAGCAATTAGATCTGCATCATCATTAAAGATATTAACAAATACGATATATAATTCTACATCAATGTTTAAAGGTTTAGAAATAAATATTCATAAATCTCTTCAAATCAACAGAATTATGTTTATTTCAAACGAAATTACGACATACGATGCACTCTTAAGTGTTGATCATTCTACTGTAGAAATATTTGAGTCAACTTTCTTTGATAATCACGTTTATTTCTCAATTTCTAACTCTAACGGAAATGTTGCAGTTTATAATTGTTACTGTGACATTCTTGATGTTTCTGGTGCAGTTTCTTTCTCAACTTCTCCTATTTACACTGAAAATTATGTTATTCAATATCAAGAAGCACAATCTTGTTTCTTCCAAGCAAACAAACGTCTTTCAATAAAATTTGGTGATTACGAACAAGGAAAATCATGTTTCGATCAATTCAGCCGCTATCCTTCGCCAACACAATAATTTGAAACAAAATAATTTGAAAAAAAATCTATTTTTACTCGCTTGACAAAAAAAAGTTGATAAAAAAGTGATCTTTTTAATAAATCATCATTTGAGAGGAAAATTGATTACTTTTTGACACAAAAACCTCACAATGTCAAAAACTTTGAAAAAGGTGTCAGAAAGTATTCAAATGTATATATTTCTGACAAACAGAGTCTCAGAAAGTACTCAAACAGTGATTTTTAATTTCCATACGCTTTTTATCGATCTTACACATTCTTTATATATTTTGTTGAATAAATGTAACTCTTGTTTCTAAATGAATGTCTCGAAAGTACTCTCTATATGGTTGGGGTATGTTTCAAACTTAGAAAGCCTAAACTAAGATATAGATAATAATTAAAATGATAGAAAATCAAGTTAATGAAGTTATGAGTAAAACCATGTATTATTGTTTATGATGTATTGCAAATTTTTGTATGAGTGTTCGTTAAGCAGACATAAACCATGAAAATCAATTTAAGTCTTTCAATTACACTCTCGATAGTTTCATACCCAATGGCAGAAGCGAGACGATTATTTTGCATTCAATTTGTGCATAAAGTAGTCAAAAATGAGTATTCTTTTTGAACCCAATGAAAAACTTTTTTTACTAAAATAAACAAAAGAGAATTAATGAAATGAAACGGATAGAGAATTCTGTTCTTTCTTACTCCTTCACACAGATATGGTGAGAATTATGTTCTTTCTTACCTCGCAAAGTCACTTTTTTTGCTATAAGAGATATATAATGTCATATTCTACTAGCTGTTTTCATAACATTAGTTAAATGCATGATATCCAGCTCAATAAGTTCAGATATTAAAAAAAAATATTAATTTAATTAATAACTTAGCAAGAAAGAAAGTAATTAAAAATAAAAGGTAAAATGATGATTCTTTATAAACTCTCTTTATTGTTAAAATGAAAAATGAAAAAAAAGAAAATGTAGTTAGGCGATAGTATAGATATAAATATATGAATATATATGTATATGAATATCGCCTCATTACATGATAACAAACACTTTATATATAAATATAAATAAAAAAATTAAACAAGAGATTCGATCATACTAGTTATACTGTTCAATGCTGGAAGAACAGAGTCTTCACACTCATCAACACTTTCATTTGACTCTTTAGCCGCTTTGTCGATGTCTAAATAAGTCTTCGCAAAGTCAAGTAAACGACAATCAAATTTGGATGGATCATCTTCATCATACGCGAAGACAATCGAGCTAGAGTACATGCGAGCACCAAACTGTTCGCGCATTTTAGCCATAGATGTCTTCAACTTATTGAGTTTTTCAACAAAAATAGGAATTTGGTTTGGGTAGTGGAAGAAATCTTTCAAGAAGTCGAGAAACTCCGACTTAGAGCATGAATTACCCCATTCGCGTTTAACACAGTTGATGTTCTCTTCAACAGGCCACTTATCTGGTGTACGAGAGTACCACATAGCGGCACGGACACGTACACAAAGCTCCGATGATGTAGGGCATGAGCATTTCTTCTTCATACGCTCACGCTTTATTTTAGAGGCACCTAACGCCCAAGTTCTAGTTCCAAGTTTCACGTCTAGAACAGCTGGGCGTGAATAACCATCTGCAATGTCATGCATCATAAGGTATGGTTCTGATTTGTGATTGATTTCAATGTCGCGCTTGACTTCAAGATCAACTTCGTCATCTGAACTAGATAAGTGAACGTTGTTGTCGTCAACAATGCCTTCAACAGAAGGGATGAGTTCGGGCTCTAAGATATTATGCAAACTGCCTACATATGTTTTATAAAATTTCAACTCACGAATTAATTTGCATTTCTTCGCAATGTATCCTTCCCTGAATGGGATAATAACACCATCATGACCAAAGATTTTAGAGCGAAGTAATTGCCCTTGGCTATGGTCTATGTGCAAAGTCATACGAGATGTCATGGTCTAATTTTTTTTGAACATGAAAAAAAAATTTTTATAATCAAAATTTAATCGTTTCAGTCAAAAATCAAATTCATTTGAAGCATCAAGAAAGTTTATAATGACATTAAAAGAAATACAAATATGATTAAAATAAACGTGAACGAATAAACTTTTTGTTTCTATTAAACCGCCCCAAAATCTTCATAAAATATAAAAATAAGTTTCAATTTTTTAAAAGGAAATTAGTGTGTATGCAAACTAGTTCTCTGCGATAATTCTTTGAATGATTGAAAATTTATACACATTTGAATGGTATTCTCTCAAAAGTAAAATCAGAAATGTCATCCATCAGCAGTATTATAAGAATAGCAATTAATCGTTACTGATTTTATGATCACGCTTTCAATTTATAATCAATCAAAATTAACGTCCAAATTTGGACTTAATATTTGTAAAGCATATATGAAAAGGTGTTACTTCGTCAAATTGAATGCCCGTAAAATTTTAGAAGTTGGATAATTTTTTTTGAAAGCTGATTAAATCAGAAAATAATTCACATACAATGAAATGTAACTATATTAACATACGCTAAATCATAACAAAAATTCACTCCAAATTAAAAAAGTAAAATCTTCATTTTATATTCGCAGTGTCCTGGACAGCTAAATCGCAGATTGACGATTCAGAAGACTTCACGTATACATGAGAATACTAACTCATTAATTTTTACTATATTAACATGATAACACATTTACTTTATTGAAGAAACAGGCTAAGTGCAGAACCTGGTTGCTGATTTGGATTAAGATTATGAATCTTTTTCTAGTTCAGACTATTATCAGATAAATATTTTTTCATTATTTTAAATTACAAACAAAATTTTTATTATAAATTTACAAAGTCATACTTCTTATAAGTGAATTGAGTGAGTAATCAACATTGTTCTTCCTGATAAATGCCGAATTATTGATTGCCGGTGTTTGTTCTACCTTTGGATGTGGATTAAATTCAAAATTAACTGGAGTTCCTTCAATTCTGTTACCAGCATCAATAACAAATGACTGTTCTTTCTGGTGCTCGATATCTGTCGATGAAGTTTCTTCTTGGCTCTTTGTTTTTCTTAATTTCTTTGTTTTTTCTGGAATTTCTTCGACAACTTTCTTTCCTTTCCTCTTTGTATTAATTTCTTTATCTGAGTCATTAGTATCATGTTTCTTTCCCTTCTTTTTGGGCTTTTCTTCAACTTGATTTTCTTTTGAAGCTTTACTTCGTTTTTCTTTTGGTTTTTCATCATCTGGTTCGTTGTTTTGAGCTTTGCGACCTTTTCTCTTCGGTTTTTCTTCAATTTCGTTTTCGATTTGCTTTGATTTCTTCTTTTTCGGCTTTTCTTCTTCTAAATCTTCCTGAACAGATTTCCTTCCTTTCTTTGTAGGCTTAACTTCTTCGATTTCTTCTGTTTTAACCTTCTTTCCTTTCTTTTTAGTTTTTTCTTCTTGAATTTCAAGATTTTCTTCGACAACTTTCTTTTTCTTCTTTGGTTTTTCTTCTGGTTCTGCAGGAATTTGCTTTTTTGCCCTCTTTGACACTTTTTCTTCATCATTTTCTAAATTTTTAGATTTTGATTTTTCAGATTTCACCGGCAAAGGTTGGATTTCTTGTTTCTTTGCAGCTGCATTAGCAATTGAATTAAATTCCCAATCCATTTCTCCGAGTTTCTTATTCTTTCTTACAGATCTTCTTGAATTCACAGTTTCTTGTTCTTTTGGAGACTCGGTGACCTTTCTAGACTTAATCGTTGGCTTCTGTTCTTCTTCCTCTTCCTCTTCTTCGTTCTCTTCCGTTGGATCATCGAAGTTCCACTGTTTCATCGAATGAAGATTTGAACTTTTAACAGGATTCTCTTCATCTTCGCCACTATCATCATTGAAATTCCAATTCTTGACTTCCATTTGGTTCTTTTGTTTACTTTTGCTTCGAAGATTTGATTGATTTTCTTTTTTAGCTCTTCTTGAAGCAATTTGAATCGGATGGACACTTCCGTAGTGGCTCTGTGTCTCAGTTACTGTTTCTTCAATTACTTTGTATGCTTCTGTATGGTTATCTCCCTCTAATTTCTTTTGAGTCAAAACTCGGGGAAATTCAATGGAAAATCGGCCACAAAAAACAGAAAATGGCTTATCAAAGGGATTATTGCTATCATCGGTACGAGCAGTGTACTGGTATCTTGTTAATAACTCAGTTTCCTCTTCAGGAGTCATCTTTCCTTCATTCGTGAGTCTCATTATATCTTCATAAGGCCAAACAATCGAAACATGACGACCATTCTGTACAAGAGTTGCTGCGCATTCATTAAAAGGTGATAATGATGTAGCGTTTGTCCCTTGGAAAGCAATTTTTTCGATCATTTTACATTGTGACAGTTTTTCTCCCATATATTTAATTTCTGCGTTCGAAATCTTCTGGTACGCGATATCAAACTCCTTAAGGGATGGTAATAATGGCAACATATCGCATATAGGAGTGATATCATCCAAAGAATTTTCTTTTGTACCTTCAACTTTGAGAGTTTCTATGGAATTATTGTTGTCTAACAGCATGCAAAGGTCTCCTATGGGTATTTTACTGGGACATCCGCACATACTGACGTATTTTAATTGACATTTTTTAAGAAATACAATTAAATTGGAATTTGTCATGTTTCCATCCCATACAAGTGCTGAAATATTGGATGCGGTTGCTTCTTGAGTGAAACTAGTGATGCTTTTCTCAATTTCGTTGTTAATAATTTTGGTATTTGCAACTGAAACGGTAATTCTGTTGGGATGTGACGCGCAAAGTGTCATAAACCTTGCAAATTCGTTGCTTCCCCATTCTATATCGTCTGCAACGACGTGTAAAAGTTTTTGTGGTAATTTCGAAATTATTTGGCCACAAGATTTGGAATGTACGCATAAATAGTGTATATTATGAGATGGATACTTCGTAATTGCGTTTATAACACCTCCAATTGTTGTTTCTCCGCAATCAATGATACTTAATGAGTGAATATCTAAAGAAAATGGAGCAAAAGCCTCAAGATCGAGGTCTTGTATTCCTTGTAATGTCAATGATCGTAAATTGAAGAAGCATTCATGAGAAGTTATGTTGAGAAGCTGTTTATTTGAAATTGATTTCGCAAATGTCAAACTTGTAATTTTGTTTTTCATAACAACTGAAAATAATACGATCAATTCTACGTCCGATATCTCTGCTTTTACGAAAGATAAGGAACATAAGTTCGAATTTTGTATTTGAGTGAATCTTTCGATGAAATTAGGGAAGAATTGGGTCGGCCCATGCTTGAATGTAAGTTTTTCGATCTTGCTGGAAAAATTAAAATATTTAGATAAAATTTCAAAAATATCGAATTTTGTAATGGGATTAAATACTAAATGCTTGAATCCTGAGTTCAAACAAAGTGAATTAAAGAAGATAGGAAAGATTTCTTCTTCCATTGGTAAGTCGTTGAATTTAAAAGAATCATTTTGGTAAAAAACGTCTGTTTGTATATTTCCAATACTTGAAATGTCAAGAGGTTCCTTTAATTGGCTGAGCTGTAGCTGCAGACGCCATAGAAATGATTGAGGTGTTGAATCTGGTAAATTTGGAAATTCGTTTGGAAGAGATATAGCTGAAAACTCTTCTTCGGTTAGAAGTCTATGAGCTTGAGAAACTATTTGAGTAACTAAGTTCTTAGTATTACTTGATGTAAATTTTAATTGTTGATCTCCGAAATCTAAGTTAGCAATAGAAATTTGGAATATCCAACAAGCTTAAGATCGAGAAGGGAATACATGTGTGTTATTTTACATTTATTAAACACATTTTTTGAGGCGATATATAATGAACTTTCAGCCAATGCAAGAACGCATGGAATAAGCTTCTGCTTTTTCCCAAATTTATCTATTTTTTCAATAAAGATAAACTTGATTCCATTCTCTATCGCCAAATTATTTAAAAACGCATATAAATCATCCATCTTTGTCACTTTTTATTCATTTATTCTCAATGAACAAATATGCTTTTGTATATGAAACTTTCATTGTTTTTTGATAAATATTTCTTATTAATCGTCAAATTCAATTGTTAATACCTCTAAATGTTATTGTCATTTTATTAGAAATTCAAAATTAAGAAAATTACGTGCAGAAAAGAAAAGTGGAGGAGCCTACCAGACACTGATACATAATCAGTGCTTTGTTGGCTCCTATTTCCTCTGGAATTGAAGGGTGAGATGTATATAATATGTCTATACACTGCCCATTTTCGAATTTTATCGAGGATAATGTGAGGTTCATGGAAAAGTGACGATCATTTTCCGAGTCCACTCGGTATATATCGTTCACATATCAAAATCAAACAAACCTTTCAAAAATTGAACGGGAGCCCGTTAGATTTCCTGATCCATAAAAATATGTAACATTAAAAAAGCATCTTTGAATTGTAATTGAAAATTACGATTTTTCGTGTGACTTTTTCCCTCAATTTTTGAAAAAGTCAGCGTGAAAAACTTACCACCTTTTTTACATTTTTGAATTGAAAATTCAAAAGTGTAAAAAGGATCGTCATTCTTTACGCACTTTTTCAATAAAATTTTTCATTTTTATTTTGAATACTTCACAAATTGAAAAAGTGAAAAAGAACTGATTCTTTTGATCTTCAAAATTTTTGGAATCGAATTTTACATAATTCGATTCCAAAAATTTTGAATTGAAAAAAGAATTTTTATTTTCATAAACTCTAATCAAATTAATTGACACTTTTTTACAATGTGGTGTTTTATGATATTATTGTTGAAAACAATGAAATTAAATAGCAATTTTCAAAATATAGTCCAAAAACACATATCAACTATGAATAATTTACACTTTGATCAATCACCTGCTGATGTTTGGGAACTCTTTTACAATACTCCACCTAATTCAGAACCAATTCAAGGTACAAACATGGAAGCGACATCAACAAATAATGAATGTTTCTTATATAAATGTTTGTTCATTGATATTACAACTAAGAGTGTCATTTATTTTAATTCTTGGGAGAAAAAGTTTCTTAACTCAGATTGTTCATTTACTAACTGCAGTAGTATTGCAAATGGTGGATCTATCTACTTTAATTGTGATAGTTCTATTGTCCAATACCGAACATGTGGCTACAAATCAAAAACAAACTCTGATAGAGGACATCATTCATATGTTTACATAATTAGAAATTCAAATAATAATAAAAATTATCTTTATGAAAGTTCTTTTAATGAATGCGGAAATTTTAAAAAATCTTATACAAATTTTCTTGATAAAGGAAATATTGAAGTTAAATCAATCAACACAAGTTTCTGTGAAGCAATTTCTCAACCAGGAATATATCTTACAGAAGCGGCAAATCAATGCAACGTAACATACTCATCATTTTATAAGACAATATCAAAAGAAGGCGCTTTAATGACAGAATTTTGTGATATAGGGTGTCCAAAGGTGTGTTTAGCACAAACCTGAATACTGCGAATAGAAATAAACAAGTTACATATATATAAAGTTTATTTAAATATAATAACCATTGGATTCAATCACGCGTTCGCAGCGATCGATCCAGGCTTGAAAGACACGCTTTAAATCATCATGAGAAAATTGCTCAAATTGCTCTCTTACAAAATTTTCAAGATCATCTGGACTCGCGAATTCGCGTCCTTCAGCTCTCTTTTTTAGCGTGCCGAATAAATAAAAGTCAGAGGGTGCAATATCAGGTGAATAAATTGGGTTTGGAACAACTTTGACATTGTTTTCCACCAAGTAATTCATTACCTTATGACTTTTGTGAACTCTTGAATTATCAAAATGAATTGCAAACTTTTGTTTTTGTTGTTTGGATTTCTCAAACTCATCAGAATTGATAATTTGAGTAAGAACATTGTCAATTAGATACTGAGCATTCATCGTATTAGGTTTTTGAAGAATATCAATTGCGATGATGCCATTCACGCCCCAAAAAACCGACAACATCATCATTGGTGTGTCAATTTTTTTCTTCGGGAATGTTTGCGGATTTTCATCCTTCGGGATCCACATGATTTTGGCTTCTGTTGCATATTGAAACCAAGACTCGTCCCCTGTTGCTAAAAAGCGAAACTTCTTGGATTGATACGCACCCAATATAGAGAGGAGCTCTTTCGAAGATTGGACTCTAGATTTTTTTTGAACTGAATTAAGGTTGTGCGGAACCCAACGTGTATACGCTAGTTTGTAGTTCAAATAATTGTGCAGATAATAACTGACTGTTGTACGTGTTGTAAACAGAAATTCATCAAAAGTGACACCTCAGAAAAGCTAAAATATTGAATTTTTGGAACTTTTGATAGAGCACGTTTTTAAATATTAATTAAAGTAAATGTATATTTTGTAAA